TGGGGAGCACCCATTTTTGGGGCTGCAGAGCACAAAGCAAAGGTGGGTGCAAGAGCTGGGGGGATCCTGGGGCTCCCCAGGCTGGGGGCTGTGCCCCGAAGGGTCCCCAAGACCCCCTCGCTGTGTCCCCTGGGGATACTCGGGGTGCAAGGATGGACCCACTGGGATGCTGAGCCCCACATGGCATGGGGTGGTGTTGGGGGGGGGTGTCCCAGGGGGGGAAGCCCAGGGTGGCTTTTCCCTTCCAGCCGCTCCAGCTCCTTGTTTGTCCTCCTGGCCAGGAAACGGGGCCTCTCCCAGTGATTTTTTTCCATGTCTGGGGCTCGGGACACGCTCCCCCCGCGCCAGGAAAACACCACAGCCTGGCACGGGGACCAGGGAGGGGGAAGGACACCAGAGTCACCAAAGGCACCAGGGTTTAATACCAACACGGAGCCACCAGCCCCCCCTGAGCCCCATTGCCCACAGTCCTCAATGCTGGTAGCACCGTGGCTGGGGTCGGGGGGACGCATGGACACCCCCCACCCCAAAACCTACCACTGTGCCCCCTCACTTGCCCACACAGAAGTCCTTGAAGATGATGTCGAGGATGTCCTCGGCGCCCACCTGCCCGGTGATACGGCCCAGGTGCCGTCGTGCCAACCGCAGCCGCTCGGCCGCCAGCCCCAGGTCCCCCCGCTCCCGGCCGTACCGTGCCAGGGCCGCCAGGCAGTCGCCCAGGTGGAGGCCGTGCCGACTCTGCGTCAGGCCGGGCGAGCCGGCCAGGGGGTCTCCACACCTGGGAGAATCATACAATCACTGAATCATAGAGTTTTCCAGGCCGGAAGGGACCTCCAAGGGTCATCTAGTCCGACCCCCCCGCAGTCAGCAGGGACACCCCCAACTAGACCAGGTTGCCCAGGGCCTCATCGAGCCTCTCCTTGAATATCTCCAGGGAAGGGGCCTCAACCACCTCCCTGGGCAACCTGTTCCAGTGCTCCACCACCCTCACAGTGAAGAACCCTCTCCTCATCTCCAGTCTAAATCTGTTCCCCTCCAGCTTGAAGCCATTGCCCCTCGTCCTGTCACTGCAGCCCTTTCTAAACAGGTTCTCCCCAGCCTTCCTGTAGCCCCCCTCAGGTACTGGAAGGCCGCTATTAGGTCTCCCCGGAGCCTCCTCTTCTCCAGGCTGAACAACCCCAGCTCCCTCAGCCTGTCCTCGGAGCAGAGGTGCTCCATCCCCCTATCATCCTTGTGGCCCTCGAGAAGTGAGAGGTGGGCACAAAACCAACCTACAGCATCCCCCCCACACTTCTATGGGGTGCCCCCCCCCTTCCCAGCCCCGTCCCCAGCACTCACAGCCGTGCCAGCTGCTGGCCCAGCAGCTCCAGGAGGTGGTCCAGCCCCTCGCCCGTCTTGCAGGAGAGGAGGGTGGTGGGGGGCAAGGGGTTCCCCTGGGCGCAGGCATCACGTAGAGCCCCCCCCGAGCCCCCCCGCAGCAGGTCGGCCTTGTTGAGCACCAGGATGCAGGGGGTGGGGATGGTCGAGGGGGGTAGCAGGGACCCCAGGGCAGCCCCCAGCCCCACCGGTTCGGTGGCCACCGTTGTGGCATCCAGCACGGCCAGCACCAGGTCCGCTTGCTGCAGGCTAAAGGAGGGGATTTTGGGGTGACAAGGTAGGACAAGGGGCCACATCCTGCCACCCTGTGAGGGGTTTGGGGACCCCCCCACACCCCCCGTCCCCTCCAGGCTCACCGGTCCCGCGCGCGGCTGACCCCCTCCTGCTCGACGGGGTCGGTGGCATCGCGGAGCCCGGCCGTGTCACTCAGCACCAGGGGGTAACCCCCGACGTTCAGGGCCACCTCCACCACGTCCCGCGTCGTCCCCGCCACCGGTGACACGATGGCTGCCGGGCGCTGGCCTAGGGGGGGGACACACACATGAGATGATGCTGGGGGGGCACCCTCATGGCATCGGGGACGGTGGCTGCTGTCCCCGGGGAGGGGGACCCCCGTCCAGGCTTCACCCCACTCACACAGCAGGTTGAGCAGGCTGCTCTTGCCCACGTTGGGGGGGCCAGCAATGACGGCGTGGACCCCCCCACGGAGAAGCTCCCCCCGGCGCCCGTCCTGCAGGTGGGCACTGATCTCCTGCTCCAGCGCCCGCACGGTGGCATCCACTGTGGGGAGAGAGCAAAGAGATTGGGGACATGGTGGAGGGGGGGGGACACACACCAGAGATGGGGTGTCCCAGCACCCCATCATCCTCCCCCAGCCCTCACCTTGTGACAAAACCTCTTCCTCCACGTTGTCATCCTCACTGAAGTCGATGTAGGCTTCGAGGTGCGCGAGCGCCTGGGGATGGGGATGATCGGGAGGGAGATGATGGGGATGGAGAGGATGGGTGGGATGG